AACCAAAACTCGACAAATCGAAAAGTCGAAGTCGGAAAATCGAAAAATCTGAAAGTCGAAGCATCGAGAAATTGAAAAATCTAAATTGAGAAAACTAGAAAATGAAATTTCGAACAATCAAAAACTCGAAAACTCGAAAAAATGTACCTATGATTGTTAAAACAGAATTAATTCTTAACGTTACTTTTTTGTGTGTTGGGGACAGTCAAGTCGTTGTGAATTAGATAATAGTTTTACATATACTGTGGTTTTACAGTGCATTTTCAATCAAGTAACTTCAACAATGCGATTCAATTGTCTTTTCCCTTTATTCTAGTTTTTTTTTTAAACATTTTTTGTAAATAGATTTGTTTGTGTTTTTAAGACTGATCTATAGTTGATTATAGTTTTCTTTTAATATTCTTTGCAACTAAATAGATTTCTTTGTGTTTTTAAAACTGGTTTTTCTTTAAATAGCACATTTTATTGCAACGTTTATTTTTGATTATATATTGTACATTATCCTTTTTTTTGTTTATACTAATTATACTCGTAATTACCTATATGCAGATTTGTTTGTCTTCTTAGGAGTGGTTTATCTTTAATTTGTTTAATTGAAGTTCATTGTTGGTTGTACAGAATTGTAGTAAATTTAATTTTACACTTATTTGTTTTAACTTTAATTAATATATATTTTGTTTTGGGTTTTACCTGGTGATTATAACGAATTATAATATTTTATTTAAGGTAAACAATATAAAAAAATAAAATTATTTCAGCGTTTTATTTATTGAATATTTTTTTCTAAAAATCAAAATATAAAAAACGTCTTAAAATGGACAATAGATTCCGTCTCTAGGACGTCAGTAAATCACGTCAATAGTTCGTTACAAAATGACGACTCTAAGACGTCAGTACATCACGTCAATAGTTCGTTAGAAAATGACGTCATCTGGACGAGACATTTGACCGTCATTGGTACGTCAATATCACGTGAAATCTATGGTCACTATGACGTAAATGATGACCATTTATTCACGTGAAAAAGACGACATCATGTTGCCTGAGAATTATTAGCACACACTCGAATGTTACCATCACAGTGATCATCACATTTGTCATACGCCTTACTAAAGTATGCTGCAAAGCCTTCAACAATTTCAGACGAGGTTGTTAGTTCTCGATCATCAAGTTTCATTCTTGTGACTTGCGTTTTAGTATTAATATACGACCATAAGAACTTAGGGTTATTTTGATTCTATTTTCGGCTGTGGCTTTGAATCTATTATATTCTCTGCGTACATTACTTTTAATATTTTTACTGAGAATTTTAGCTTTTTCAGCATAAATCTCCAGTCGATTTTTCTTGTATAGTTTTCTATATTTATTTCTTAGTGTGACGTTCTGTATTATCAGTGCCGAAACTAGCTATAGGCCGAGTAGGCCCTTGCCTAGGGGCGCCAACGAAAAGGGGCGCCAAATTCGTCCAAAAATTATGTTGTATAATTTTGAAAATTTCATTGTACCTTATAAACTTTTATTGGAAATAACGAGATGGACAGTAGTACAATAGCAAGAGATATTTACAACTTAAGTTGTCGCGAGCCGATAATCCCCAGATGTTAGAAACCAGAATAATCCAAGTCCGGGCAGGGACCATCGTTATTCGTTACTCATGAACAGAAATGACCATTATTTTATGAGTACAACTACCTGGCAAATGTTCTCAGACAAATTCGAGTGAACTGGTGTGAGCCATAAATATTCTTTACCATTGTACTACTGTCCGTCTCGTTATCGTCAATAAAATTTTATAGGGTGGAATGAAATTTCCAAAACTATACCAAGAGTTATGTTATATTATTCTTTTTTTATTTTGAACGGAAACTCAGAAACGTGTAACCGGTGCGGCAGGTTTTTTAATGTTAATTGTATTTTGAACTTATATGTATAAAATTTATACATATTATATATCTATATGTATAATCTCGATTTTTTTTCTTTTTTATATTTTATCATAGTATCTGTTTTGCGTAGTTATTAAAAAATATAAATAAAACTGTTCGGTAAAATTGCATTTTTATGTGTAGAGAAGGGGCGCCTAACGCAAGTTTCGCCTATACCTAAATATTCTTTGGTTTCGGCACTGTGTATTATATCATAAGTAAACCGGGATGGAAATGAAAGTCTTCCACTAACTTTATATTTTGGAACACAATTATCAAATAACTCATAGAGTTTTTCATAGAAATAACTATAGTAGCTAACTCCACATCATCAAATTTCATAAATTCATCCCAGCTCAATTCGCCAATACATCCATATAAAATTTGTAAATCAGCCTTTCGAAAATTATACCGAAAATTAGAAATGTCATTTCCAGATGCTATAAATGAGGGAGTGGTTTTTGTGGAGAAAGAGAGCTTGATACATAAGGCTGGATGATGTTTATCCTCCACTACAAAAGGAAACTCATTGTTTGAAACTATACAATGACAATCTTTAGTTGACATGACTAGATCCAGAAGCTTGCCGTAGTGGTTTCTTACTCGATTCTCTTGTTTTAGAGCATTAAAATTCATAAAATTGGACAGAAGATTACTGATCGGTTTAACACTGCAACATAGCGTTTCGCTATAAAATACCTCATAAAAGTATGGGATGTTAAAATCACCCATAACAAGTGTATATTGTGACAAGTCAATAGTGTTTTCAATATAATCTAAAACAGTTTCATAGCAAGTTATGTTAGTTTCTGGGGAAAAGTAAATGATGATAAAATTGAGCCATTGTTCTTTTACCTTCACTCTAACTATTAGGAGGTCGATATCATCTATAGGCGATTTGTTAACAATCATTTCCGATGAGTATTGAATTAAGACTGCTGTTGCTAAACCACGACCTCTTCTTCCGTTATAGGATCTGTGCACACTATAATTAGGAGAAAAATATTCAGACGACAAGACATCATCTCTAAGTCAAGTTTCGAGTAATAAAATAACATCGAAGTCACAGTCAACAATATTAGGGTAAAACGTACTGACTTTGGTGTTAAGACCTCTGACGTTTTGATAAGCAATGTTGAGGTTTTGGACAGTATGTGTTCGTTGGATAGTTAAACATTTTTTGCAGAAATTATTTTTGGAACATCATTCACCAGTGGCGGCTGGTGGGTCAAAATTTCGGGTCGGCCAAATATTTTGAGTCTACACCTTGGTGTTATATATTTTCGTAATGTATGGCTGCTACTTATTAACCACTGACATTTTACGTGCCAGGATGTACAAAACATCTCAAATGTTTCGACCTGTTAAAATAATTTTTTATAGGAAATTGACAATGTCAGTTTGATTCCAAATACTATTAATCCTTAATTCTACTTGTTCTGCTTTATCATTAATTGAGAACCACCGAAAACATTATTTTTACTGAGTTCCGCGTCGACCGGCGGCTATACGGCTTGCCGACCCCGGACATCCACAATTAAATAATAATAATTAAATAATGACATGCAGTTAAAAAATATAAAAAAAGTAATAATAAAAGTACCAACTGTTAACTATCTTCATTTACATTTATTTTTTTTTAATGTATATGACAAATTGTCAAATAAATTAATTGAATAATTGAAAAATTAAAATGATTTAAAACTTTAAATTCGTTTCTGAAATATGTGAAAACGCTTAGATGCTAAAAATACAGAAAAAGCGCATTTATGTTGTAGCTAAGTTATGTACGAAAAATAAAATTTTAGATAATTTAATGTAATTTTTTTCGTTTATTATTCATACACAGAAAAATGTATTAAATCGACAATTATTATTAAAAAAAAATAGTATGCACTGAAGAACATCGAAGCCGTTATTGTTTTGTAATTTGGTTAGCTATCTTAAATATTAAGCGTTTTAAAAACTAAATTCGCGTTGCTGGGTACGGCGAAGGAGGATTTCGCCGGACCTGGCACAACATACGTTCCGCCAGGTCTTTGTCTACTACAGTGTACTAGACAAAGAGAACGATGAAACCGTAAGCTGCTACGAAGTCGAAACATCGAGTATAATGCATTCCTGGGTACGGCTTGCCGAAATCTCGCCGGCAAAGCGTGTTTATCAGCATTTAAAATTAGCAACAAATGCTTTATTTTGTACCTACAATATAATAAAATATATTTTTAATATATATGATCTATCCTAACGTACATTCAAACTTTATTTCTTTTTTTATTTTCTAATTTCAACGCTTATTTTAAAATGACTGGTACGGCGTGGCCGACCCTGCCGCCCCTGACCAGCCGCCCCTGTCATTCACATATTTCAATTTTATATTATCCTCACCATTTTCTCTCCTAGACCGAAATTCTGTACGTACCAAGTAAGAAACATTCCTCTGCTGTGCTGTCAAGTCTCGACTCATATATATACTTTTAGTGAGTTTATAATTTCATAAAACATCGACTACAGCTGATGGAGACCTACATTTAACCAAAAAGAGATGATGTTTATCATCACTTTTGACTTTACCGATACGATAACATTTTTCAGGAATAATTTCATTCTTAATTTCATCTTTAATTGGCAATAAATTTAAAAATTTGGAAATATGTTCATCTATGTTATCAGGTCCCTCAGATTCAGGTAAGTTAGATACAACAATGTTATTTGTTCGGCGCAGACGATCCTCAACTTCTTTAATAATGTCGTCTTCAGATAACGTTTTTCCGTTTGTAGAGGACGCAGTTGAACCTTGGATCATAGAGTGCATGCTGGAAATTTTTTCTTTTAATTCTTCAACTTCGTTCTTTAGATCACCAATAACTACCACGATGTTGCAATCCGTACAAAAATATCGAATTTTCCTGTTCTTAGAGCGAAGACAATCCATCTCCTGCCGCGACAATCCATCACAAATCGCATGTGCTGGGTTTTTACATATATCACACGTGATAAGCTCATTATCTTTAACATTTTTACTAAAAACAACACACGTAGGCATGATTTCACTGTTAACCAAACTCAATTATTTTCAGTTTCAATAGGTAACGATCACACTTGACAACTCCGATAAGCCTTACAATTATCAAAAAACCAGCGAATTGATACGCATCCTAAAACCGCCTCATGTCGTAAGTGTCCAAGCTGTGTCGTACTGTTCGTAATGAGAGACAAGGTTTTAGTGCATAGCGAACAAAACGAAATGAGTCGTTTGAAGGCAGCGCTTCAGAGAGAATACGAAGACGATCCAAACACGACGATTTACTTTCACAATCCGCGAAATACACACTGTGTTGAACTGTATTTTCGTGGTGAAAAAACCGCCAAAGTTATGGGTAGTTTAGCGGTGGAAGAACCAAAGGCAGGGAACACGTTGTCAGGCGTTTTAGTAAAGAGAAATTTCAATTATCATTTGCTGGCGGCTAACGATCTACCAAGTGAGTTTAATAAGAGTAAAAAAAGTGCAATCTATTTTTTTTTTTTTTTTGAAGAATACACCGACATGAGTATGAGCCAAATCATGCAAAGACAAAGTATCCACTACTCCGGAAACATGGGAGTGCTGCGCCACTTTATCACACAGGTTGCTGGCTTGCTGGAGCCTATCGCAGGTGACAAGAAAGTTAGAGCATTTAAGGCGATCGATATTACCATAGAAAATAAAATTATTACTCTCGAGGTAACGTCTACTCATTTGTTATGCATTTTATCTTAAATGAGTTTTTAGTGGATCGCAAATCCCGTAAATGACATGTACGCTGACGCAATCGTCGCAGCGATACTTCAAGCCGACTTACTGGATACACCTATAAAACATCTATCGACAAGCGTAAAAGTCGATCGGATGCATTTTAAAGTGTGTAGGACGGTTCTTACTGATTTTTTTTAATGTGTCGTTCTAGGAGTGCCTGATTGAAATGCTTCAGGACATGTTTGGTGAAGATTCCGTTCCAAAAATGTTCAAAGGCGAAAGGTTGTACGTTACCGTGAATGATAAAAAAGCGGATATAGATTTATCAAACTTGGTAAGTTTTAATAGGTCTCGATGAAAGAAAATGTTGACTTTGTTACAGGAGGTTACTTGTCCTGAAGACGAAACGTTTAAACAAATTGTTGAAACTGCAGTTACAAAGTTGTATCAGTCGTTGGCTCCTCCGCAGATTTAATAAAGATATGTACATTATTGAATGTAAATAAATATTTTTAACTTTTTTTTTGGTTTATATTGGAGTCGAGCTCGGTGTCGGTGTCGAGGTCAGCGAAACCAGTTTGAACTGAGTCATGAACAATATGTACATGAAACACTTAGAGAGTGGTGCTGATTCCGTCTCTTAGGACCCCCACAACCTACACCCACTGCCATAATTCAAAGAGTATCTATACCACAACGACCTTTATTATTATAATAATTAAATATGATAAATAAATAAAAAAACTATATTTTAAAATTAATGACTTCGCCGCGTATACATGTTTAATTTATATAAATTGATATCGCAGAGTACTCCCTGGGTCGAAGCACTCTTTTTTTTCTATGACTCTTGTTATACTTCTCGGGCGTAAGGTATAGCAATGTGGTCAATTATACGAATTCATTTCATGTTTTCTAGGCAGCTGATGAGGAATATTTTAATTTTGTGTTTTATTTAAAATTTCGAAAATTCCGATTCTGGAAAAACGGTTGGAGTTATCAAAGAAACGAGGTCGGAAGTGAGTTCTAGAACCAGAAATATACAAGAAAATGTATTTAGTTAAAGTGGGATTTATAAACTTGGTGTTGACGTTAAAGTTCCCGTAGGAGTTGCTGTTGTAGAAGAAAAGTGGAGGATTTAAGTTGATTACTACAAAAATTTACTATTTTAGACAAGGTTTAAATTTCTTGTTGTCGAAATAAGTATCAAGAAAAAAAGGCAAAATGTAGCCCCGCCCACCCACCCTATCTCAATTGTGACATGTTTTACTTTTCTTTTTTACGACTTTGAATCTACGATTTTTATATTTTTGGAATGTTTAAATTTTCGACTTTTCGATTTTTTAATTTTTCGACTTTTCTCGAAACTTCGAATTTTCGAGTTCTGGATTTTTTGATTTATCGATTTTTCAATTTATCGTTTCTTCACATTTTCGAAGTTTTTTGATTTGGATTTTTGAGTTTTGCGATCTTTGGATTGTACGTTTTTGGTTTTTTCTGTTTTTGTTTTTTCGATTTTTCCTGTTTTCTATTTTTTGGATTTTTGGATTTTTCGAGTGTTCCTTTTCCTGATTTCCCCATTTTCGACTTTTCGTTTTTTCGACTTGGATTTTTTGATTTTTCGATTTTCGGATTTGTGTATTCTTCAAATGCTTGCTGCTTCCATTTTTGTATTATTCTGCCTTCTCGATTTTTTTGATAATCCGACTTTTCGTGTTCTCGATTTCTATTTTTCAATTTCTCGATTTTTGAATTTTTCGCTTTCGATTTTCTGAATTTTTGATTTTTTAATTTTTCGACTTTTCTATTTGTTGAATGTTCGATTTTTCTGTTTTTCATTTTTCGATCGATTCTTCAAATTTTCGATTTTTACTTCCCGAGCGTAAGCAAAGGAAGTATTGTAATCGAGTCCGTCGGCCGACTCTCTACTTTTACGTTTTCTCGATCTTTCATGACCCCTAGAAGACGAAGAAATAGGTCTCCCATTTCCGTCTGTCTGTCCGTCTGTCCGTCTGTCCGTCTGTCCGTCCGTCTGTCCGTCCGTCTGTCCGTCTGTCCGTCTGTCCGTCTGTCCGTCTGCCGTCCCGGATTTTTATTAGACAGATAATCTCCGAAAGTACTCGACCGATTGTTGTGAAATTTTGTACTTATATTAAGAATATCATGTAGATGGTAAAACGCTAACCAAAATTTGTCTAATCATCCCCACCACTAATGCGATGACGTCACTTCAAAATTGTACATAGTAAATGGGTTTACAATTGTATAAAATAACATAGTCCTACACATGTAGTTTACAACTCCGAATCGACTTTTCACCTGAAACGTCCAGATTTTTGGAAAAAAAATCAAAATTATAAAACAACATTTTGAAATTTAATTTTTAATCTGCTAACCAGAATGCTTTGAAATGTTGCAGATGTTTTAAGGCTATAAAGAGCATCATAAATCTTTAGTCAAAAAATATTTGCTTATCCCCTCCAAAAACTTGATGACGTCAGCTCAAAAGTTTGTGGAATAAATCATATCTAAAATGTACAAAATATGATGAGCCTGTACTTGTGATCTATCACTCCATTCATATTTTTTGGATTTGCATATGCAGGGTGACTCAAAAAAATTAATGAATGCGTAAATTTATTTTACTGATTTACTCAGAAACTACAAAACCGAATGCTTTGAAATCTTGCAGATGTTTTAAGGTTATAAAGAGCATAATAAATGTTTAGTCAAAATATATTTGCTTATCCCCTCCAAAAAATTGATGACGTCAGCTCGAAAGTTTGCCGAATAAATCCTATCCAAACTGTAAAAATATGATGAGTCTGTACTTGTAATTTATCACTCCATTCATATTTTTTGGATTTGCATATACAGGGTGACTCAAAAAAATTAATGAATGCGTAAATATATTTTATTGATTTAATCAGGAACTACAAAACGGAATGCTCTGACATCTTGCAGATGTTTTAAGGTTATAAAGGGCATAATAAATGTTTAGTCAAAATATATTTGCTTATCCCCTCCAAAAACTTGATGACGTCAGCTCGAAAATTTGCCGAATAAATCATATCTAAAATGTACAAAATATGATCAGTCTGTACTTGTGATCTGATCTATCACTCCATTCATATTTTTTGGATTTGCATATACAGGGTGATTCAAGAAAATAAATGAAAGCGTAAATTTATTTTACTGATTTACTCAGGAACTAGAAAACCGAATGCTTCGAAATCTTGAAGACATTTTAAAATTATCATAAGCATGGTAAATCCTGTGGGTTGAGCTACCTATCAGGCGCGTCCCCAGGGTTGCGGATAGGGGGAGACCGGCATTGTCTGGGGAAGGGAGGTCTGGGAAGGGCGGATATGCCCCCCGGAACTAAACACTCCTGGGGGTGGTGGAAGTCCGACCTGGATTTTTTCCCTTCTCCAGATATGTAGGTTAGGGCTGAGGCTCGTCTTGCCTGGACATGCCTTGGTGGTTGTCGGCTTAGACGGCCGCGAAGGCGGTTCAGTAGAGGAGGGCTGGAAATAAACGTGCCCCCCCGGGATTAAACCCCTGGTGTGGGGTCGTCAAAACAGCCCCGCGGACAAGCTCCCGCGTGTTTGTGCCGTGCGTGGAGGTCCGTAAGGTGGGATGAAGGAATCCTGGAGGTTGAGCCCCCCTTGGTGCAGTGTGTCACCAAGGCTGGGCAACACGCCTCTTTGGCCTGGATTTCCACCAAAACGGGAGGTCGAGACTAACCCATCTCAGATCAATCGGCTGTGTCGTCGGGTCAGACCGCCGACAGGGTGAGTCCTTGGGGGAAGTGTAGTCTGAGCACGAGTAACCTCACTAGTTGAGGTTGCGTACTGCAGGATGAGCTTCCCTGGGGGCTATATCCTTCTGCTAGCCCTGACGTCGAAGTTCGACGTCCCCTTGTTGGACTCCGTGGTGGGTGGGGACGCAGGAGGACGAAATCAAAATCCAGATCATGGAAAATAATAATAATAAAAAAACCACTGAGGAAGTGCCTTCGGGTGCACCTCAAACAGAAAACCCGGCCAATGTGGGGTCGCAGCCTCCTAGGAGGAAGCGAATCTGCGGGGCTGAGGTAAAAAGGCGGAGGAAGGCTCGTTTGCAGGCGGAGGCGGCGAATACCGACCCGCCGAAACCATCCATCCTCCTCCGGGATAAACCCCAAGGGTAAAGGGCAGGCTACGATAGCCAACCCTAAACAACCCGCGGGGAAAAAGACCTCAGGGTCAAAGAAGAGAGTGAGGTCTTCAACCTCCACACCTCCGGCAGCTGAAAAGCAAAAGAGGATGAGGAGGCAGGAGACTACCTCTAGAGAACAGAGCTACAGGGAGGCGGCTGCAAGTCATCTCCGTGTAGCTGTGATTGATGTGCAGCATCCACTTGGTAAGCTGACTGCTGACCAAGTGGAGATAGTACAAAAGGGCCTGATGGGAGCGCTGGACAAGCAACTTGACCAGTGCTTGGCATCGGGTAGACAAGCAGCCACTTTCAGGGGCATGAAGTACACAGGGGAAATACTAAGGATAACCTGTGAAGACGAGTTGTCCCTGAAATGGCTACAACAAACAGTGCGCTCCCTAACACCCTTGTGGGAGGGCGCACAACTTAACGTGGTCCCCTTGGCTGACCTACCAAGGCTGGTGAGGGCGACCCTGTGGATACCGGGGCCACCGGTGGACGCAGGAGTCGTACTTCGCCGCCTGGAGGGTCAGAACCAATGGGCCAACGTCAAAAAATGGCTTCTTTTCCATCGCGAGGCCAAACCCGAGGCTGCCTCTCCAGGCAACCTCTTTGTGTTTGGTCTTGGGATGGAAGAGGCCAAGATAATCAGGGAGAGAGAGGGCAGAATCAATTATATGCTGTCCTCTTTCAACCTGAAACTCAAGGAGAACGAGGCGTCGGCTAAGGAAGGGCGGACCCCTATGGAAGAGGTAGAAACCCCAGGGGATGAAGCCTCTACCAGTGGGGGCGGGCCCGCCTGAGACATGTGCCTCGTGTCTCCTAGGACAATTATGGGATTTTTGGTTGCAGAGATGGCGCTGCAGCAGATAAATTTCATTCAGATTAACCTGCAGCATTGTCGCATGGCGACGACTGTTTTGTGTCGTCGTCTAGACAAGATGCAGAACACTATAGCAATAATCCAAGAACCATGGATTGTAAAATCCAGGATCGCAGGGTTGAGCAATTTAAATGGCACTGTTGTTTCAGGTACCACAATAGAATCTCCAAGGACATGCGTCTATATTCCGAGGAAAATTAAAGCCGTCCTCCTACCTCAGGTCAGCTCCAGGGATGTGACTGCGGTAAATGTTAAGTGTAACATAGGAAGAGGCGAAGAGCAACTGGTAATAGCATCCGTGTACTTACCACAGGGAGCACAGGAACCATGTCCAACATGGGAAATGGCGAACTTGGTGGAATACTGTGATACCGGAAATATAAACCTCATCATCGGTGCCGATGCGAATGCCCA